TTTTGGCAGAATTTTGAATGGGCACCCGTGGGTTTCTGCCATGCCCGGTTGCGGGCCGGCGGCCTCTCTCTCCAGACATCGCGAAATGCCCAAAGAGCGATGCYGCCCATGACCGAGATTCGAACCGGCGAYTGCGTGCGTCGCAACCGACGCCTTAGTCCGCTCGGCCACTCCACCCCCAGTTTAAGCTTTATTGTATAGTTTATACCATAAAAAAACTCCAGATCGCATAGACGCACATAATTAGAGATCACCTTAATTTCCAATAATTAAATAATTATATAATGCATGTACAATTTTTAAGTATTTATTTTGAATAATTTTAAAAGCAAGAAAATAACATAAACCACATCTCAATTATTTCGATGATTATTAATGATTATCAAACAATTTCTATAAATATCGATAAAACTATTTTCGCTTTGACAAACAACTTGAAAATGTAATAGAAYGTTGGTCCTAAAATGTTATAATAGCAATTGAAAATTACTAAAGATGAGTAGAAAGAATATTTTATAAGCATTTAAGTTTTACATTTTTATAAAACGCATCAAAACAATAAAAATTTGAAAATTATAACTTGACATACCCAGTAACATACCTAAATAAATTATAGTAATATATTTTAATTATATACATTTAACTGTATCCGATTTATTTTTGATAATCAATATAAGTAAAATAAAAATAAAATAAAAATGATTTTTTTGAATAATGAATAATAAGAAAATTCTGTTATTTTTTAACTAAATGGGTGACAGTATAAATTATGAATAATATTTTCCCTTTTCTCGTTTGGAACAGTAAGGTTCTGTCAATTTAGTTGAAATATTTCTTTGCAGGCATTGCAAGTTAAACTATATATTATAGGTACTCCTTTACCTTACTCACCATGGTTGACAGACGTTTGGTCCAACGAATTAAGTCCAATTGTAATCTCGTCCACAGTAATAATTTTCGTCTACATGCTTATAGATCCCAGGTGTGTTAAGGACTTATTGTGTCTAATACAGCTAGTATAATATGCATACCAATTATATAATGGCTATAATAAAGTTCAATAGAATGTTCTATACATTAATTCCAAATATTTTGTATTCATCGATGTACTCKTACATAAAAAATATAGAATAAAATTCCTACACAAAAGATAAAACTAAGAAATAATTGACGAATAAATATAACAGAGAACAAATTTTTGTTATTAATTAGAAATACTATAACACAATATTAGATGAAAACAAAATTAATAAATAAGTTTTTACAATATTATGTATTGTAGAAACTATAGGTATATATGTATATACTGTGTATTAATAAATCACCATGGGTGTTAATTTTTGCATGAGAGTTTTTGCGTTTACATATTTTTTAAATAAATATTTTCATATAGGTAAAGGGTCAACTTTTTATTCGTTAGTCGTTRATAGTTATTTTTCGCCAATATATACTGAAAATCACGCATAGCATTGGTAGATATTTGGTATGTACAGCTTTCATTTGGTGTTCCATAAAAAAAAAATTGTTGATATTTGGTTATAGATTTATGAAGATTGGAGGGGCTTGACATTGTTATTTTTATAATTGTACTACTGCATGTGAGCCCATTAGACTAAAACTTTCCACGAATTCCAGGAGGTTGATTACGTTATTGTGGGTAAAAGTTTTCTCAAGTTCCCCCTCAATATCCACTTATAATGCGATGTGTCACGATAGAACTGATGTGACCATGTTCCTCGATGATAAAATATGATTTATTTTCTTTCCTGAATTTGTTTTTTCTATATAAAATTGTCATTATTAAGGATTGGTACTTGGTAGATACGAAATAAGTCTAAACATATTTTGAATAATGCGATTTATCCAAGCACATAGCATGTATATTATTATTATTAATATATGCAATTAAAGCTTATTATAATATTTACGGTATTTGCAGTGAACTTAAAATACATGCAAAAGATSCAGCGTGGTCGGCCATGAAAAAAATATCATATAGCAATACAAATCACACATACACGTGTTCAAGTGTTATTGTAAGTCATATCAATTTATATCATTAACTATTATTACGTAAATATGTTATATTATATGCATATATAATATAATATGCGTGCAATGAGCGTTATCGTTTATAATATTATTGTTATTGTGCGTATACTCGTAGATGGGAAATCTGGCGGAAGCGACGTGTGTAGGTGCATCGTCAGTGTGGTGGGGAGGAGCTTCGCTGCCTATCTCCGTATACATAATAGTATATTATACTATTATTGCAGCGCTAAACTGCGGAAAACACGCCTCGCACAGTTTCCACCGACCCGCAAGGCCGTAACGAGTCGCTCTAGTTGCTACAGCAGCAATCGCCGCCCGTCTATAGAGCATAATAATACATACATTATTATAGTATATGGGTACGTCGTGTAGTACGTTATTCGCTCTATACACCTATACATCTCGCCATTCTCATCTCGACGCGAAACGGCAAGCGCGAACTTACAGTACCGCCGCCACCGCYACCACCGTTGCCGCTGTCGCTGCAAACCGCACACAATACAAATTCGCGCGTTCCCGTTGGCGGTCGTCGCGCGCCATATATATGAAGTTTTCCAAGACTGTGGGCAACAGCTGGCACAATGTGCTCGACCAACTCCAGCCAGGAGTACCTGGTGGCGCCATCAAAGGACGGCATGGACGAGACGAGCTACATACTTCAGCAGCGTCGGCGTCAACAACAGGTTATGATCAATTATTTTGATGGATATAATTATACGTATATATATATATCATAAAATATTATAGTAATACATTTACACCTAAGTTGCAGAAT